CTTACAGGAGTGAATTTCCCTTCCAAGGGGTAGATTTCCTCAATTCCTGTTGTCTCAAGGACAGGAAGTGAGATGAAATCTTTCCAATGAGGATACAGACAGCAGTAAAAACCTCACAGTGACCCGGAAGAAGAGGTGGCCCTATTAGGCACGTCTAACAAGAGCTAACTTCCTGTAATGTACGTACAGTACTACGAACCAGACCCAAGGTGGGCACTCCTCGTTGGCACGAGCGCGGTAGCATTACAGCTACTGAAATTCTATGCCGTACATTTTGGTTGCAGCTCGGGACCCCCTGCTGTACAGTTATAGCCTCTGTTTGTTAGTAGGGGTCATTAACTCCGGTGTTTGTAACTCGGAGACTGCCTGTATGTCAAACTTTAAAATTGCGTGCGCCCGCTAAATTGCACCAAAAAAAATACCATACCCAAAATTGGCCATAGGCTACGCTTTAAAAGCTTTTACCGCTCATCAGTTTAGTGTTATCAGTGACTGATGGCCCTAGAAGTATTACTCTCACAGCAACGTTCGCAGTGATATGTAACATGTGCAGCAATAGGCACACCCAACGCATATGTGTGTGTACGTGGGGGAGTTTAAAAAAAATATATTTTTAACATTTCAATTCAAATTTAATTCATTTTCAAATTTTAACTGAACAAACTGAATTGAGAAGCTGATTGGTTGCCATGGGCAACTGCTCCAGATTCTATCTGCTCCAGTTTTGATAAATTCCCCCCACTGTGTGGCTGTATCTTATCTCAATGGCTGTTAAGCATGGATGCTGAGTGATTGCAGAGTAATTCAAGGCTCCCTCTGGTGGCATATATATACATTTATATTTCATTCCGTCTGCTCCAGTTTCCATAAATTCCCCCCTATGTGAGTTTTATTAAAAATAAAGATTACAAATACTGTTTGCTAAATCTTTATATCCAATAGTTTGGGCCTGAAGGTGGGTAGACAACCAAACACTTGTCTGCGGGTCTGATTTGTCTGCGTGTTGAGCAATACATACAATGTACATTGCAATACAATAACCGTAGCTCTTGGAAGCTGAGACATTTCTGAATCAACGATGCCGACATTTGTAGCATTGAGAAATCTTTCCACAGGAACTATTTAAAGCTGAATTCCGGGCACACAACTACACAGATCAAATGCAGATATGGGAGTTGTGTTTCAGCTGCCAAAGGATTTGAATTTCTGTCCAGGAAGTCCTCAGATTAACACAGCTCGGCAACACGGTACAACCCTGACTGGCAAAGAAGGGAACCTGTTCGTTCTCTGCTGCAGTTTCGCTTTCACGTACAGATCTCTACAACATCCCAGCCATTGACTGGACAGAGAAAGGTGAAGCAGCACACTGATGAGCTCACCTTTCTATCTCTATGTGAGAGGATGGGTGCACTTTGTGCCATTCAGGCTACGAAATTACAAAATGACATGTTCATTTGTAATGTGCGAACGGAGGCAAAAATGAATGTTATTAGCAAATTATGGCCGCCAGTTGGAGCTGAGGCACATAGGAAATAAAGACTGGCGGCTTTCTACTTTCCCTCCGTGCAGTCTGCGGCAGACCATCTAGCAGTCAACACTGCCATGCACTACGATCCCATCCTCCGACCTGTGTCACTACAAGACACACCAGTGACAAAGGTAATTTGGGACCGGCGGGCAGATGGGAGGGAGATCAGCACCTTCCTCCTTGCTCACCTCCCTCCGTACTCTGAATGCAGAAGTGATGTGTATTACATCACTTGCGCATTCCACCTGTCAGTCATCTGGCTGCTATAGTCAGGGAAAAGAAGCTGATGAAGCAGATCTCTGCTCCGCTTTAAGCAAATCCCAGGGCCCAGTCACACCATATCTAGTGTGTCCCGGCGCGGTTCAGGCCCAGAACGCACTGGATTGCATAAATCAAGCCGGGTCAAGTTCATGCACTATTTTTTCAAATCGCACTGCACCGGAACTCAGGGCATTCCAGTACCAGTTCCAGTATTAACAATGACTTATAAAGCCATCCACAACTCTGCCTCCAGATACATCTCAAACCTGGTCTCAAAGTATCGCCCTAACTATTCCCTCCGCTCCTCCCAAGACCTCCTGCTTTCCAGCTCCCTCATCAACTCTTCCCATACTCGCCTCCAGGACCTCTCTAGAGTCTCTCCCATCCTATGGAACTCTTTACCCCAACCTGTCCATCTATCTCCCACCTACACAGCTTTTAGGCGATCCCTTAAGACTCATCTCTTCACCTCTTCCCACCTCAACCATCACTTTCTCAAACAATTCATCCCCACACAGCTACCTCCTCATGTGTCTGTAGTGCCATTGATGTGAATGGCACCACCACACCCCCTCCAGCCCCAAAACGCGGGTCAGCTTGATTCATGAGATCCAGTGCGTTCCAGGCTCAAACCGTGCCAGAACGCACTGGATATGGTGTGACTTGGCCCTTAAAGGAAGAAATCAATTAAAATGAACATCACACTCTACAGAAAAATAAAAAGCAACATGCTCATCCACATTCTATTCCAGGTCTGGCACAGCAATACATACATCCAACTCTCTTCTGGGAATGTCACCTTCAGGATATACAGACCATGGGGTTGGTTTACATACGTAGCGAAGCGGCTTTTCTTTTAGGCTCTATTCACTCTTGAGTCTTTGATCGTTTTTGTTTTGCATGTTTGTACACGCGTTTCATGTGCACATTCCGGCTGGGTTCACACCTAGGCGTATTGAATATGCACGTTTGTCGCGCGGTTCGCATCGCGGTAAAAAAAAACATGCAACAAAGGCGCGTTTCCGTGGACTACTTGGCTGTATCCCAATGGAAACACGAGACCAAAACGCCCCAAAGAAGTACATGTACTTCTTTGGGCGTAGGCCGTTTTGTATCGCGTTCGGACGGGCGGAAATACGGCAAGGTGTGAACCAGACCCATTGAATACAATGGGATTTAGATGTTTGAGCGTTTTGTAGAGCGTTCGTCGAGCGTTGAATGCGCTACAAAACGTTCAGGTGTGAACCAGGCCTCCAGCTTGGCCATTTTATTGTTAGCCAATGGAAAGCTAGTTACCAGGAAGTGAAGACAGCTGTTAAGTGCAAACAAATGCACAAACAACACAATATCCCATGGTTGTTTTTTTTTTTTTACATTTCCCTTGCACATGATTGGGTGTTATCTGCAAAGTCCATTTTCATTGGGAGGAATTTGTCAAAACTGGAGCAGACAGAATCTGGAGCACTTGCCCATGGCATCCAATCAACTTCTCTCTTCAGTTAAGATTTGAAAATGAAAGAGAGAAACTGATTGGTTACCATGGGCAACCACTCCAGTTTTGATAAATCCCCATCAGTTTCCCCTCATTCAGTAAGAGAAGAGAGAATTCACTTTGAGCCCCCATTTACACTAGACCTGTAACCCCACAACAAAAAAATTAGTGTAGCTCGTTTCAATTCGGATTTTTTTCATTTTTTAGATTTCGGATACGAAATTCATTTTGGTTCGATATTCAGATCCATTCGGATCTATCCAAATTTTTCATTTGGAATCTACTTGGATGGGTTTTTTTTAATTAAAATGAACTTACTTAAAGGAGAACTATGAGGCGAGTGATTTCCAATCATCCCCATAGATCTAGACGACCTGTGACAATGAGACTGTCACAGGTCGGCTCTATAGATCGGGAAGTGAGCGAACACATATCGTCGCTCGCTTACATTCCGATCATCTGTCAGTCACCGCTCCCCGCAGGCATTCCCCCCCTCCGATTTTCCAGCACTGAGTGGAGGAACGGACAAGGGAGGGGACGGGCACAGCTGGCTCTGCCTCTAGATAGGCAGAGTCCGCTGTCAATCAGCCAGCTGGGAGCATCACAACAGTATTGTCGGGATCCGGCCTGGCTGAGGTGCTCTCAGCATATGGCGGGCAATAGCCCGCTGTATACCAAGTTTTGGGTCACCGGAGGACACCGTATATGTCCTCCCGTGACCCTAAAGAGAATTATGGGGGGGAAGGTTACCCCATAGTTCTCTTTTATTTATTTTAATTGTTTTAGTTCCGTATGGTCATCTTAGTTCCATACTGGTGAGCTTAGTTCCGTATGGTCATCCTGGTTCCGTACTGGTCAGCTTTGTTCCGTATGGTCATCCTAGTTCCATACTGGTCATCCTAATTCATATAGATAGTTTAATTTTAAACAAAACTCAGAACAAAAATTCGGATTCGTTCAAATTTGGAAATAGAAAAGCAATTTCCCTGTGTAATTTACACTAGCTGTGCACTAATGGCGTGTTCTGCCACACATCAGCAGTGACGAGGCCTGGTGTGAATTTGGTTCACCTGAGCTCCCCCAAGCCCGCTTCTCCCGACCCAATCAGTTGCAGTGAGGCGCATCCCCCGCAAGCTATACTTTAGAGGGGCGGATTGGGTTGGGAGGAGGAGGTGTCGGTCAGAGGATTGAGCAGCCTTGGCCAAACTGAATTTCCATCAAGCCCAGCCTTATCTCTATTCATTTGAAGGGCCTGCCCTAAGATGTGCGGCAAAGCTGCTCATGCAGCGGTCTGTGCAGCGAGCTGCATGCATTTTCCTGACCATGCATTTTTTTGCACCAAGAAGAAGGGCACCCCAAGCACAACACATCCTTTTCCTGCATTGCGTGAAAGTGTGCAAAATGTTATTCACACAAGTGAATGGGGAGGCTGAGAGTAAACAGCTTAGCTCCTTCAGTAAGCCCTGGCCTATGTGTGAGGAATCATCTGATTGCAGGGAATGTCACCCACACAGGATAGAGGGCAATTAGTATACACACATACACTTCTTATAGAAGGTCATCACAGGGAAATGACCTACAGGGACACCATACAATTGTCTGATCACCCGACACGACAACTCACACTCAATGTGACACACAGAAGAACACACTCCGGTGACTGCAGACAATGGCGCACACAGACACACGGTCGGTGTTCGGGGATGTCAGATCACGCACCCTCTGCTGATGATCGGGCACACAGCGCTGGAATCCCGCACAACCCACGTGGGTACCAAGCACAGCAAAGCACTTCCTCCTCGGACGAGTCCATTCCACACTCCAAGAGGAGGGAGGTTCTGCACGGCTTTCGCTGTACTTGTCCTGAACCCCCCCATACAGAGATTGTGCCTCCTGATCATAGTAATAGAGATGCCCGCCGGACGTGTATAGGAGGTTCAGCTTGGAATGGTGATATAGCTGCTGCGTTTAGTTGTCACATAGGATCCGTCATACACCCGCCTTTGGCGGGATGGTAGAGTCCGGGGAATGAGCGTGTCACTGGCTGCTTCCTGGGCCGGGGAGGGGGAGTCGGGGCTCCAGTGGGGACATGGCGTCCGGTATGCGCTCTAGGACTTTAAGCAAAGATGATGTGAACTATAAACTGCATTTCAGGATGATCAACGAGCAGCAAGTGGAGGACATCACCATCGACTTCTTCTACAAGCCGCACACCATCACTCTGCTCACCATCAGCACCATCAGTCTCATGTACTTCGCTTTTACCAGGTAAGGACTACTGCCTTCGCACTCTGAGCTGCTCCTCGAAGGTTCTACACTCTGGGCTGCTTACGTGCTTGCTTGCTTGCTTGCTTCTGTACACTGGCCTTCTGGCAGGCACTCTGAGCTGCTGCTTGCTGGCAAGTTCTGCACCGTGGGCTGCTGCTTGAGGGTTCTCTGCTCTGGACTGCTGGCTGGTTACTTGCTTGCTTCTGCACACTGGCCTTCTGGCAGGCTTCTGTGCCCCTGGGCTGCTGTGGTTGGCTGGCAGGTTCTGGGCCGCTGTAGCTGGCAGGCTTCTGCGCCCCTTGGACCGCTGTAGCTGGCTGGCAGACTTCTGTGCCCCTGTGCTGCTGCCGCCGCCTCATGCAGTAGTTCATGCTGAGTCACAATCTAAAAGTAGTATACAGATAAGGACTTTTGTCACTACTCGCTGCATTTTGGTTTGCCATTCATACACCGCATGGGTAACCACATAACGTGGTGCTGGTAGTCAGCATGTCCTCTATGTACACCAGCACCAACTAATTACTATTGTCTGCGCTGTGTGCAGAAGACAGTCCCGTGATATGTGTCTCATCATTAGTCCAAAGACAACCAGAATGCTGTGACCAATAGGACAGATGTTTTACTATACAGAATACAAAAAGCTGAGCGTTGTCATACGGTGATTGCACTTCGTTGTCACTCTATTTTCTGCATCGTCCAAATTACCTGTAGAATCACGGAGAAAGGGATCCATCTAAAATTCTTTATTATGTTGTGTATGAAGGAAGATCAATCCATTGTGAAATTGTCATTAACGAATCTGTAAATCTGAAGGAGACAAGTAGATGAGAAGTGAAGAGTACAATGGAGCATGGCATGTATTAAAGAAGAACTCCGGGCAAAATAAAGATGAACCCTTTCAGTGGGGCCACGGCCGCACTGCAAGGGATAAGTGCTCGTTTTATATACAGTCTGCAGGATGTCATTAAATTCCTCCTTAGAGGTTTTCCCCAGAGGTTGGCCCCGGTTAGCACTGTCATTGCCTTCCATTGCATAATGTTGTCTCTGGATGCTGACAGCCATCTGGTCAGCTGGGGAAGGGATTCTATTTGCTCATACTCATCCCTCTACTCAATGGGAGCTAACATCTAACATACACTCAGATATTCTAGAGGATCTTTCACTAGCCATACATGTTACATTCACTTGCATTGGATGTGAGAATGCTGAGGGACATTCCACAACCAGAGCAGATGAGGAGATAGGTAAGCAGTCACTACCAGGGGTCGGATGAGTATATCTTACACCCTACACCAAAATGAGCACTTAAAGTGACATTAAAGTCCCAATTCTTTTCATCCCCCTCCATACTGCTTTAAGGACTTGCCTTAAATCAGGGGTAGCAAACCTCCGGCCCTCCAGCTGTGGTGGAACTACAAATCCCATGAGGCATTGCAAGATTCTCACAGACATGACTCCCGAAGACAGATGCATCATGGGATTTGTAGTTTCACCACAGCTGGAGGGCCGGAGGCTTGCTACCCCTGCCTTAAATGATGCCCCTTGATCCGGTCATCTTCTTCCTTCCACTTGTATTCAGCAATCCCTCCAGCGCTGGTGCCGATCTCTGATCTGACTGCTGTGTCTTCTGTGTCCCACGGCGTCTGTCCGCGTGCATTGACTTACACTGAGCTTCTCCCCGCCAAAGATCTCAAATGCGCATGCGCCCGCCCCATCAGCCTGCTCTGCCACTCGAGAGGCTCCAGATCCTCAGACGGGAGTGAGCGGCGGAGACACAGGAAAGTAATTACTTTTTTTGTTAAAGGAGAACTATGGGGTCAGGGCTTTTTCCCATAGTTCTCCTTAGGGTAACGGGAGGACACAAACTAGCGTCCTCCCGTCACCCTAGGCTCAGTATACCGCGAGCTACAGCTCGCGGTATACTGAGACACCGCAGCCGGAGCGGATCCCGACTTAGACGTCGGGATCTGCCCAGCTGCATGAGTGACAGCTGGCTCTGCCTATCTAGAGGCAGAGCCAGCTGTACCCGCCCTGTCTGTTCCGCCAGTCAGCGCTGGAGGAGGGGGGAATCCAGCCCCTCCCCTGTCACGGCAGAGAGCCGTGACCGGATCGAGAAGTGAGCGAACGCCGACCGATCTACTGAGCCGACCTGTAACAGTTTCATTGTCACAGGTCGGCTAGAACTATGAGGTGAGTGAAAAGCACTCATCTCATAGTTCTCCTTTTAACTTTTCTTTTTTTTCATGTTTTTGCATATATTTGCTGCTTGCTAGCATTAGATATATGCAAAAACAGGAGAGTTTATTTGTACTTTGATTAAACCTTTACATTGGGGCTACCCCCACACTGCAAGGGTTAATTTGTATTCTGAGTTCTTCTTTTAAGATAAATTGTGTGCCATAATATAGAGCAGCAGAGACACGAGTTGTGGGAATGCGTAGGCTGATGAGGAAATGGCTCAGTAGGTTAGGTGTAACGTTAGATAGTGATCTGTGTTTCTCACACCGGCTATCCGTAACCATCAGATCCCGTTTTTCCATTGCAAGAACAATTCCAGAAATAAGATCCCAGCTGAGGATCAGCCAAGGTCGTTGCACTCATTTTCTATGCTGGAAGCCTGTACCTGGACTTTCTGAGAGGTTTAGAAGTGCTGCAGATGGGGCAGAGAGCAGCTACCTGGTCACAGTGCTAGCTGGAGGAATATCTGTGTTCTGTTAAGAGACCCTGTCACCAGACCAATTTACTTCATCAACAATCTTCCCATAAGACGTGGTGGACAAATTAATTGGCATTCAGGACTCGGTCTGTCCAGTCCAGGAGCTAGCAGGATTTTTTTAGGAGCCCGCTCCATTGATGAGGAGAAAAGTTGGGCGCCAGCTGTAATTTTTAAGGATCATTGGCTACCTGGCTCCTGGGATTTGTCCAGCCTTGGCTTAAAGGATAACTATATACAAGGAAAAGTCAGCTTAGTGGAGGTTTTTTTTTTTTTTTCCAGCAAGGCCAGACATGCACCATACCCGACTGAACGGTAACTCTAGTGCACTGCCCAGTCTGGTCCATTGGCGTTCTGTTCTTTTTGAACTCCATCGTTTTTGCTGCAGTGGACAGATGTCTATTAGCTCAGGTGTACGGATCCGAGGCAACATGGCTTGTAATTGGCAAGGCCTCTTCCATTGTATACGCTTAGCATGTACTTGTACAGGTAGCCATTCCTTGTCAAAGCTAGGGATGCCGCCTGTCCCGGATGCACCTGGACAGTCTGGGTTTTGAGTCCTGTATGTGCTGTGTCTGGGTTTTAGCTGGCCTGCAACCCAGACACAGGGCCTGAAACCAGGACAAGTGGCAACCTTAGTCAAATTGGGCAGCGTGCCAGAAGAACTAAGCAGTGTACAGGCCAGACAGTGCCATCAGATCTCTCATGCATTTAGTAAAGCTCTAAATTAAGGTACTTTCGCCTAAGCCTGCTCTTGCTTAAAGCAAAAACAACTCCACTTGATATAGGGCTATCCCCACACTGCAAAGGGTTAACTGCTCATTTATGTCTAGGGGAGCAGTGTAAAGCACTTTCACTTACCTGATCCCCACTCCCACTGATTCCAAGACTGGTGCACACCACCTCTTCCCCCTTCTTCTCCAGTGGTCAGAGGCCCACTGACGTCATCACATCTAATGCAGGGCCTATAGCCCTACATTATACATGATGACGCCGAGGGACAGTTTACAAGCTGGAGTGTAGGGGGAAGAGAAGCCATGACTACAGGGGGGCAGCGGGAATCGGGTAGTTCAAAGTCCTTAACACAGCTCCCATAGACATTTTTTATATATATATATAGATATATACACAGATATATATACACAGATATATACACAGATATACACAGATATGCATTAATACTGCCATATATCCAACACAAACCTGAAACGGGCCCATTCATACCTCTGCTTTGCGGTAACGCCCTGTCATGCATATTACCATTGTTTGTGAATGCCACCTTAAGGGACCTTTCCCATGCACCTGAATTGCTGCACAAGGTGTGGTAGCTCACTACTGTGCATTGTGCAGGAGTAATTGTAGTCCATCTTGTTGCTTTAGGCAGCTTATGCAATTACATGAGCTGCCTTAACCCTTTCCTTGCCAAGGACGTACGGCATACGGAGGAACAAAAGTGTTCCCGTATGCAGCACGGACCTGGCAATTGCAGTTCTGCTATAAGCTCATGGTCGCTATAGCGACCATGATTATCTATCGATCCTCCTGTGCAGAGCAAACACCGGAGCGATCATCTGCTCACTCCGGTGTTTGTAACTAACTGGGGACACATAGTACTATGTGTCCCCGGTTTTGAATGAACAGGCTGTGATTTACATCACTTCCTGTTCATTCATAAATTTATGAATGGGGACTAGCACTCACTACAGAGGCTCCTCCCCATTCATAAACTGGTGATAGTAAATATTTTTACTGTCATCAGTCTCTGAATGAATGGGAAGCCTCTGTACAGAGGTACAGAGTGCTTCCCATTCATTGAGAGCTGGGGCTGCAGAAAAAGAAATTGAGGACTCTGTGTCCTCAATTTCTATTTCAAAAGGGAAATGTCAGGGGTCTGTTTAGACCCCAGATATTTCACCGTTGCCCCCCCAATAGTAAAATAAATTAATAAATAGAAGAAAATAAAATAAAATCCCTCCCCCCCCACACATAACATACACGTGCACCATATTGTGGTGTACACCATGCACATGCGCTGCAGTGTGTTGTTAGAACGCATTACAGTGCATGATTTTTTTTCTTTAAAAAAAAACATTAATTTAACTGTGGCAGAGCATGGCAAAGCTTTGTAACGCATTGCCGTGCGTTGTGATACCTTGTGTTGCAATTAAATATACGCCTGGATCATTTTATCAAAACACCAACACAGCGTAACAACTATTTTTAACATAAGTCGCTTATTTACAGTTTTGCGTACCTTCATTTTTTTAACCTTTTCGCAAAAAGGCGC